ACCTGTGACCTGTGACCTGTGACCTGTGACCTGTGACCTGTGACCTGTGACCTGTGACCTGTGACCTGTGACCTGTGACCTGTGACCTGTGACCTCTAACCTCTAACCTCTGACCTCTGGACCTCTGGCTTCTCAGAAGCGGAAACCGAACAGGATCTGACCTGGCTGCGGCTGACATGGCTGATACCTGAGGCCTGATACCTGTTTGTATTAACGTTGTGGCTTGCGCCAGCGTGGCTATTGAATAACGGCAGACCGAAGATGTTGAAGCAGACCTGCTGGGCCTGCTGGTCCCTCTCCCTTCCAGGCAGTTGGACAGAACACAGAACATACATATCTATGCTTTGTGACTTGAGACTTTTTTTTACGGGCTGGTCTCAGATGGAATCCTGTTCGGTCCGCCCGCCTCCCGCTGCCCACCCCTTCTGGCCTTTTCTATGCGTCCGAGATGTCTCTGAGCACTGACAGGATGTGATCGCCGCTGTCCCGTGTGCGAGCCAGCCACCAGCCACCAGCCACGAACCATTCCCCGCTGTTTGTCGGTTGTCCTGCTCTGTGCAACCACAATGTCTCGCAGCTCGCCAGCTCGCGGGCAGAACGTCAACTGGGGTACGATATCAATGTAGGGAAGGGCAAAGGGGCAAGAGCAGTTATGGATAAGGGGAAGGGGAAGGGGGATAAGGAACAAGGGACGAGCTGCAGTGGGAGCAAAATAAGCAGTTGACCGCTGATCGAGGAAATGGGGGGCTCTTTCTCAGCTCGTCGTCCTTTCTCTCGCATCCAATGAGGTACATATTTTGACGCGTGTCCGGGGTGTCCGCCTCACGTCGATCATTCAGGTGACGGCATTTGAGGCATCGGTTTTAAAGATTACAAGAGGCAATTAAGAAAAAACAAGCGCAGACTCTCCCCTCTCCGTGCATCCCTGTCAATGGGACACGGCAAAGTCTGCTCTCCTTGTTCGAGGCCCTCTGTGCTTGGTTTTCCAGCCGCAACAGCCGCAACAGGCGCATGGCGGTATGGCCCATGGATGCAAGAGTAAGAGGCAAGGGGCCCAGGCATGCAGGCACGTGGCTCGGCATGTCTCGGCAACCTGCACGGCGTCTGCGGCAACTTTTGATAGACCGGCGTTTGAACTTTCAGTTAGCTTAGGAAATGATAGATTACTTTTTAGTCCTTCTCGGACTTCTCGGGGCAGCAAGACCTAATTCGTAGATTAGATCTGGATGTCGGGAGATCTCCTTGTGCGGCCCCCGCAGCAGAGACGCAGAGACGCAGAGACGTCTTTGGCTGTGGTCTTGAGTGCTTGCATCGGCTCGCTTCACATCATGCATCCCCAACCTGCAGCGAGCAGCCATCCCCAACCCATGCGGGCCATGTCCCCATGAAACATGAAAAGAGTCGGAGAACAAGGAGGAGGGCGTTCGGCTCTCGGATAAACAACGGGGGAAGAGTGGGGCTTTGCACCTGGCACCTGAATCTGATCAATGGTCTACTTGATCTACGTACTTTGCGCTTCAGTCGCCTGCTTGCTTACTCGGGCCTCGGGGCTCGGTGGTTATAACTCTGTTTGACTGCTTGCACTGCTTGCACTGCTGGGTGTTTACCATCCCGCAGCATGCAGCAATTTGGGGGACTGGAGCAGGTAGCGGCCAGCAAAGCCGAGATAATGTACAGTTTGGGCGAGATACGCATGCTGCAAGAGCCTTGCCGTGTGCAGTAAAGGTCGGCTTAGCTCAAGGCCAAGTGGGGGGCCTCGAGATTGAAGACCTTGAAGACTGCTCAAGTGGCAGAATGCAGAGAACAGCGACAGACGAAAGAGATGCATCTGATGCACGTGCATGTGATCTCAAAACAAGCAGCTGGTTTCAGCTGGAGGTGACAAACTCGAGGGCAAGTCAAAAAGCTTGCATGGAAATAAAATGGCTGCTGATCCTTTCGGACCTGGGGTGACATACCTCAGGCACGCATACATGTATGTGGGCTGTGGGTTATCTGATTGTTTGTTCCGCCCTTCAGCACCACCAGCATCATGCACAGCTCCCTCGAGTCCAGCACTTGTCGTCTGTGGCCTCGATAGGCCTGGAAAGATACATATCATCATGTCAAGGTGGAGCTTGTGGGTGGGCGAGACGGGAAACCAGCTCCAACGTTGACGTTATCCTCTTCTCTCCCGTGAGTCGTCCTGATTGCATGCTACACACTTCTGCATCATCGCGAGCCCGCCCATAGCGCATAATTCCAGCAATGTATCCCAGCTACTAGAGGACGTCGTACACCTCGACGTAGATCATCTGCCCTGTTTGGCTCTGCTGGAGTCACCAGAGGTGACTCACTTCTGATGTCGTTCCGTCTTGGTACGACGTGTCCGGAACGGAAAAGTTGCTGCATTTGAAGGCTGGGCTTCTGGGTCCTCTTTTGATTGCATGTATCAAAAAAAATAGCAGCTGACTCCAACATTTGACTGCATGGTCCCGGTGTACCCGGCCCACGGTGTGCGTACTGCATATGCATTCCTGGCTGTGGAAAAGAAGGAGGGCTGAAGCAAGAGAGCAAGCAAGAGCGCCCAGAGCAAAGGGCGACAGACAGAAGAGTGGGAGCGATTCTAGGTTAGGTGACGTTGAGTGACGCACCATACCCACCACGGGGGCCACGGGCTCGCACACTCTGCGGCAGAGGTGATGCAGGGTGACGGGGAACAGTGTAGCGGGTAGACGAAGAGTGAATGCTTGGGAGAAAGCTTGGCGGTGGACAAGACCGAGGACCGAGGTAGTCGAGGGCACGGAAGCAAAGAAAAGGCGTTAGTGCTACGTAATGGATGTCGGAGGAGAAGGAGATTAGGTGTGACCCTGACAGATAGACGGGCAGCGGTGCCTGGTGTATTCCCCATTTCCCACCGTGTCCGGCCACGCTTTCTCGTCTGCATCTCATCCCGCCATGGCCAAGCCAGAGCCCAGAACAGCGCACAGCGTGAGTCCTTTCCCCCCTCCCCCCC